TCAATAACGTCAAAAGAGAGAGAAAGAAAATTTGCACCACCCAAGATCAAAGGCACCGACGCTTTATGTCGCTACTCAACGGTTAATATACTTTGGTTATACTTTGCTTCAATAACGGCGGCCTTTAGCACAGAAATCGTTCATATTGGTGGTTCACTTAAATTTTTTCCATAGTTGTTTCTTATGTTTTACCATAGATAGTAGTATATTTAGTTTATCCTCTAAACATTTACAGAGGTGCTACATTAGGTTGTACAAATTAACCGGAAAAGCCTGTAATAACTAGGATAGGAAAGTCATGTGTTGGACACATCAGATTTTTTTATAATAATATACAGTGTGTCTACTTAAGTTGGAACCATATGGAAAACATTTTTATTATTGATTTTAGGAAAAAAAGTTATTCTTGATAAAAAGTCCTACATGACCCAAAATCTAAAATACAGTCATCACATATCAAATTTTTCAAGCCGTATACGAGGTTTGTCAAAAAATATGAATTTTGCTCAAGAGTAAAGTACGTTTATTTTTGACAAAATCGAAAATTTTCATTAAGAAAAGTTGATTAGAATTGAATAACATTCAAATATGCAATTACATCGATCTATCTGAAAAAACAGATTTTCTAATTTTTTATAAACTTTTCTACACATTGATTGTAAATATCTGAAAACGTTATAAATTACGTTAGCTACTATAAACATGATACGCTTTCCTTTTGTTGATGTTTGTGAAGAATTTAACAAATTTCTTAATGAAAATTTTCGATTTTGTAAAAAATAAACGTACTTTACTCTTGAGCAAAATTCATATTTTTTGACAAACCTCGTATACGGCTTGAAAAATTTGATATCTGATGACTGTATTTTAAGTTTTGGGTCATGCAGGACTTTTTATAAAGAATAACTTTTTTTCCTAAAATCAATAATAAAAATGTTTTCCATATGGTTCCAACTTAAGTAGACACACTGTATAAATAACAAATTACTAACAAGCTCCTACACAGCTATCAAGCAATCTTTTCATGACTCAGGAATAAAAAAATCGGAATTTAATTGTATTAAAACGGACGATGCCAAGGGTTTGATGGATATTGTCCCTTGTAGATTTACAGATGCTAAAATTGGAAAAAATTGAACCCCTATTTTAAATTATCACGAGCCGCCACTGTGCATTGTATCTTTCATCAAACGAAGAAATATTTTTACATTATCACAGTGGTTAACAATTTTTTATTTAATCTTTATTAATTTTAATTACTTTTTTGTTGTTTTTTAATCATTTTTATTATTTAATAATTTTTTCTTAAATTCTATTTATCTTTATTTATATGGATTTTTACGATACTCCCATTTCCCCCCTCCTTTAAAAAACTATTTTAATTCACCAATCTAATTTATTAAAATTGACGCTTTTTAAATCCAAAGCAATTAGGATTTCACCTTAGATAAAAGAGACCGGAGATGTAACATTGCACACTGCGCATGTTGTCTATTTTAAACCCAAGTAACCCACCAATTAAAAATCATTGTGTTCACGACGCCACCCGAATTGCTCCGAAATGTCTATTCTATGCTTGTCTCCGCGTGAGTAAATCATTATGGACCGCCGTTTTTTGAATTATTTGTTGGTGTTATTAGCAATTTAAAGTGTTTTAGTTATTCAATTTCAAGTTGAAAGTGCCACGATGTATGGTGAAAAATTGTATATACAAATAATATAAGTGTCAATGTTATGAAAAATAAGAAATATATTCGTTTTCAGCGGTAAATATTTGTTGACGTTTTGACATAAAGTCGCCATGATTCTTTGAGCTGAATACTTCAGATCCGCATTAAGGGGCTTCAATAAATATTAAGCGTCAAATACATAATATTTCAGAAAATAGATTTCATAATGCATTAATTTACAAAAGAGTAAAATTTTAAACATTTAATCTAAATAAGAAGTAAATAGGCATTATTACTAACGAAATTTTGTTTTTAAATGTAGTTTTATAAGAATATTTACTAAAGGTGGTTTTTAGCCCTTTATTAGGTATTTTTACAAGAATATTAGATGAAATACAGGCTCACCTACTTAAAATTTCAAGGTTCATTTTATTTGCGGTTAAATCGGAAGTGACATTTGAATCTTAAGTTTTAAAATAAAGTAAAACGCGCAATATGATCTAGTATAAGCAAAAAAATATTAAAGTTACGGAAATTAGTCATATTATTAGTAAAATGTTACATTATAAACCCCTAAACAACTCGAAAAAAATCCAAATTCTAGCAATATTTATTATACAATCGAATGCGGTTTCAAAGATAACAGGATCAATAAATCCGAATCCATACATTTTAGAGCTAAATGCTCGGATAAAAGCATGACCGATAGGAGTTACAAAAATAATCGATTTATCGTTTTCATGAAAATCGATTTATAATTAATTTATAATTAATCGATTATTTTTGATTAATCAAACATTTTCAATAAATTGTTTTCGTTTTTTTAGGTAAAGGAATTATAAAGGGATTACAAAAAGAGAGTAGATTTATTGAAAATAATAGTTGTTTTTTTTTAGAAAATCGATTTATTGTTTGATCGACTTTTTAAATTAATCGATTATTTTCGATTTATAGAATATTTTCGATTAATCGATTATTTTCGAATAATCGATTATTTTCGATTTTTAAAAGGTATTCGAATAATTTGTTTTAAAATACAAAAAATAGATTATATAAAAATAATCGATTGATCGAATATAATCGGTTATATTATATAATCGATATTTCGGTTATTTTTTAGAATTATCGATTTATCGGTCAATCAGCTTTTTATTAATCGATTATTTTCGATTTTTCAAAGAAAATTAAATAATCAATTTTAAAAGGAATATGAAAAAAAGAAAATGATTATTTGTAAATAATCAATAATTCAGTTATTTTTTTTTTTTTGGAAAATCGATTTATCGGCTTCTTAATTAATTGGTTATTTTTGCTTAATCGGATATTTTCGATTAACCGAATATTTTAGATTAATCGATTATTTTCAATTTTTTAAAGGTATTCGAATAATTTGTTTTAAAGGAATTGCGAAAAAATAGATTATATGAAAATAATCGATTGATAGAATATAATCGGTTATTGTATATAATAGATATTTCGGTTATTTTTTAGTATTATCGATTTATCGGTCAATCAGCTTTTTATTAATCGATTATTTTCGATTTTTCAAAGATAATCAAATAATTAATTTTAAATGAAATATGAAAACAAAAGGATAATTTGAAAATAATCGATAATTCAGTTATTTTTTTGGAAAATCGATTTAACGTAGAATCGGCTTCTTAATTGGTTATTTTCCCTTAATCGATTATTTTCGATTAAGCGATTATTTTCGATGTTTTAAAAATGCTCGAATAATTGATTTTAAAGGAAATAATTCTTTTTTTTAAATCGATTTATCGATTATTCGACTTTTTAATTAATCGATTATTTTTGATTAATCGATTATTTTTTATTAATCGATCATTTTAGATTTTTCAAAGATTATCTAATAATCTGTTTCAATGGAAATACGAAAAAAAAAAAATAGATAATTTAAAAATAATCGATTATTTAAAATAAACGATAATTCGTTTATTATTTTTTGTAAACACTGATCTATTGGTTAATTGGCTTTTAAATTAATCTATTTTTGATTTTTCAAAAATAATCAAGTAGTCGATTTTAAAGGAAATACGAACAAAAATAGATTGTTTGAAAATAATCGATTGATCGAAAATAATCGAATATTATTAATAATCAATAATTTATTTCGATAATCTCCCACTCCTGGCGACCAAATGACTTTTAATAGGTTTAAACTTTAAAATGTTATCTGGTTTCAGACATATGCATTTCTAGAGTTTTATGTGACTCATCCTCTATATTATTTAATATTCCTAAAGAAACAAGCTTTAATATATCTTTTTCTGAGGTTATAATACAAACCAACATTTTCTCATTTTGACTAATTTTTAATATTATGCGATAGTCGTAGAAAAAATATAATGTTCAACTTACAAGGTTTGATTTGCAGTATTCGCCTGCGCACATGCTTTTTTTATAATACTCTTAGACAATTTTTACTAGATTAACAATATTCTATTTCAACATTTTACTGTAGTCTCTTACAGAAAAGTCCGTAGTAAATAATAGCTAACGAAATATTCTATAAAAGGTCCTCTCTTTACATAAAATGTCGTGGCATCTGTTTGATATTAAAAAATGACGTTAAATTTATTTCATAATACAAAATTCCATTGAACGTATATTTTAAATAAATCTAATAGTTCATTTTGATGCTAATAAACAAAGTCCGGTCCCTGTCACAAAGTTCGGGTCTCTGTCCAGTTCCCACTCCGTTAACCTTTCTTTAGAAATTGGCAACATTTGCGCAGGTTAAACACCGGTGTATGTTATATCTCTGGTCTCTTTTATCTAAGGATATCACAAAGTTTAAACTGAAATTGCGCGAATTCTTCTTTTTTTATTTTACATCTGTCATTTATAATACATGATATCGGAACGCAGTGAGTGACATTTGTAATACATGATATCGGAACGCAGTGGAATGATACATGAAATGTCATAGCAATGTCAAAAAAAGAATCTTATTATTTTTTAAATTTTATTAATTTAATTATAAAAACATTTTATATTGAAACTAATTGTGAATCTAAACCATTCTCTAGTCATCTTAATCGCATAGACAAAAGAAGATGTTCGTTGTCCCCTTCTTACATAACAGGGACGATATGAAAGACATCCTAACCAAATTTAAGCCATTTATATTAAAATTCTTGTTGATTTTTGATGGTACCATATGAGAGACTTCATAACAAAAGTAGAAATTCTTGAGTCACTAGGTATTTCTATTAGGGACATTAATTAAAACACTTTAATACTAGACCAAACATTTATTATTACTTGAAACACATTAAAAACTAAACACAGTCAACATGAAAAGAAAAAACACAATATTTGAGAACTAATGTATTTATGGAAAGGCACAATTATAAAATTATTGGACAAAATTGCTAACCGCTAGCTGCTAGCAACTTTGAATGGGCACATGCTGTTAAAAATTCCGTGATTCAAATAAAAGCGCGACATTTACATATATTAAAATTATCACCTCTAAGGTAAATTAGAAACCATGGACCTTTAATTGGTCGGGTTTTGCCAAACCTGCTTTCGTAAGCCACTGGCAAATATTTTCTCGTTGATCGCCTTGCAATTGAAGGACTTCACCGTATTCTGGATGTTCGATTACTGTTCCGTTACATGCAAACTCCTGAAAAAAAAAAAATATATATATTTATATTAAACTTGAAAGTTTCAAAATCATAAGGAAATTTGTTTCAACCCACAAAATTACATTTACAATACATGTGAAAGAGTTATTAGCTAAGACGGCGCCGACAGTAGGCGGTTCAAAACAAGAGGAATGTAAAAACAATGTAGTATTGTAAAAAAACAGTTAATACAAGTGTAAAATGTTTGAATTATGATCTTGACAATATCAAGGTATACAAAATAAAAAAACCTTTTTACAGTTATTTAAAACTTCTATCTATATTAGAAAAGGAAATTCAAAATGAAAAATCAAATTATAAAATTATTTAAGACGGAATTTGCACGCCAGGAAATTCATAACAAAAACTACAAATTAACTAAGTTGTCAATAGATGGCGATTAGATGCACTTCTGCGAAATAATTCAAATGTTGAATTATACCTGCCTGTTTGCCAAGTTGTGTAAACTACTTTCCGGCGACCCGACAAGCGTCCCCTCCCTCCTAAATCTAAAGTGCTCGTAACATTTTATTGTACCGCCGGACGAGACAAACACTACGTAACATTAAAATATCAAACCTATAGGGACCGTATTTAAATAATTTTGTCCACGACCACTGATAAGGCAATATTCTACCTCCTAACTAAAAGCATATAGTACCCATATATCATGGAGTGAATTATGATAATTCACGCTTTTGTAATTCTGACACATTCCGGTAGATAACTAAAGATAGGCGATGCTTTTCATAACGATATTTTCTAGATCGAAAAATCAAAAAATCGGTAAATCGAAAAATCGAAAATCGAGTTTTCTTCAAAATTCTAGATTTACACTAATTATCAAATATCTCGAATTCGGTCCACTTTAGAGAAATTATGTATAAGACAAGAATTATAGAAAATTGTATCACAAACAACTTTTATATAAATAATTTTCATAAAAATTTGAATTTTTTACATTTTGTCAAATTTCTGGAATACGAACCATTTTAGCAAAATTGTAGAAAATATTATTTTAATTAACTTTTATTCAAAGAATTTTCTTCTACAACCGTAAATAACAAATATATTCTATAAAATATAAAAATGACCCCCTATAAAGTACCCCCAAGTGCCAACTGTGCTCAAAATCTAATCAGTTCACCGCAGGCCGGAATAAGACTTAATTTTAAAATTTGGTATTTTTCTGTTTATCCGTTCATGAGTTATCGAGTATACAGACACACACACAGACAACATCGCGAAAATAGTCAAAACGGATTCAGGGGATCCCAAAATGTAAAAATCCATCAAAAAATCGATGTCGAAAAAAATCATGATTACTATACTTTCCTTATCTGTATACAGATAGGAAAGTAAAAAAACATACAATGTAAACAAAAATGCAGAAGAGATAATAATAATAATAAAATTTAAACTATGCTGCAATAATAAGTGTGATAAATTTATTGTATTTTCAATAAATATATTTTAAGTACTTTTTCAGTTGATTTTAAGAATATACATTGGCTTAAAAGTTTGCTCTTACTTTTAACTCTTCTCAACTAAATTGTGAACCCACAAATGCATTTGAAAGGCCAGGATCGATGTTTTCACATGCATCTTGTTCCAATTTTCACGTAAATCCAGCCAGAAAAAACAAAACTCAACATTATATTTAATATCTGACAAATTACGTTCTTATATTTTGTAATATAAAAATGAAACATTTTACAAAATCTCTACACGTTTTAAATGTTTCTCCAAAACCAGACTTAACACAATTTACCTAATTTTTGTAATAAAATAACGAACTTCCTTGCTTCCGATACTTCATAACAATATGACAACGTTGCTCGATATAAATTTGATATTTTCAGGTGGCGTCATCTATATAAGATTGCCTGAACCTAAAATTACAGGGATTACACCTGTTTTATGTAACGTTGGTTGCGTTTTTTGGGTTAAAATTAAAAAATTTTGTGCATATAAGACTGGAAAATGGAAGCAAAAAATGAAATATTTCTTATGCGGAGCCTCTAATGGGAATATATTCTAGTTCCTGAAATAGTTTTTATAGCGATTTATGATGACTTTTTTAGGTGTAAAATTTTCACAAATTCGTTATTTTCTTCATTCTCTCAATTTTTTTCCACTTTAAAATATATTCAGGAACTAGTTCAATACTATTAGAATATTATAAAAGCAAATCCGCATAAATTCATTGTCTAGAAAGCCCGTCTTATATGTTGAAAAATTCTCCTATGCTAATACATTTGCTAACGCCGCCTTAAATGAAATTTAAAAGATGAAACTGATAAGCAAAACCTACAAAATATCAGCGAAACGAAAAAGGTCAATATACAAATAATTCCAATTCACAAGGTCAAAAACTTATATCTCCACAAACCAGTCAACAACCTATTAAGAATTTAAAAGACAAAACACCTGATAATAAAAAAGTGTAAGTGAATATAAACATTGTGAATCATCTATTCAGGATGACAAAACGTAATCAAACAAAAATAATTGAAAATAATCAACTACATGCAAATTTTGAAACATAAATTTTGGAAACCATAATCTAAAGCAGACCTGCACAAGTCAAATTTTCAAAGGGCCAGTTTGAGAAACCGCAAGTGTACAAGGGCCAAGAGAGACCTGAGCCAATGGTGGTCTGTTCAGATAAAAAAAAAAAAAGTTGGCACCTAGATTATTTAGTAACATTGTGACACCATAATAAATGGGTCAACCACCCAGTCAACCTAAAAGACAATTTGAAACACCATACTGTTTGTGCCCAAGAAATGTAACAACACATGGCCCTTAGCCATGTGTATTCAAAAGATTAGAAATTTAAGGGATTTTAGAGTAGTTTGTTCAGGTTGTTCGAGGGAGAATATTGTTAAAATTAATAAGAAAATAAAAGTGCATTTAAATATATTTTTTTAATTATTTCATTAATAACATTATATTATAAATCAATAAACCAATTCCTGCTGATCGAGCTGTATGTTGTGCAGGCTGGTTCTAAAGGGTGTTTTTTTTTTTTTTTAGGTTTGATAGAACTTTACATGACAACTACGATCAGACTGAACTACCACCTAGTCCAAGCGGTGGGTGGTTTCTATTCGCAAAAGGTCGGAAAGAAATGAAATTTGGTGGGATGGTAGACATAGTTCCCCTGATATTACACCGAAAATTCTGCGTCACGACGCTTTTCATGAAATAGCGTCGATGTGGTAAGTGCTATCGAAAAAAAGTTCAAATCAAATATATACAGGACAAAATGTTGCACAATTTTGACCTTTACATTTTTTTGTCTGCTACTAACAGTTTCCACTCTAAGACGCGCCAAAGTAGGGGATTGATTTGCAATGTTCAACAAAATGAGAATTTCAGCGCGGATTAAGACAAAGATCGCTATGAAACAATTATGTAATATTTTTTTTTTTTTTTAAAGAGTAATGATTTCTGAGTGCAGATGCCCGATTTGATATATTTGGTCGTAAATAATAAATAAAATAATATTTATTTATAATAAATTTATTTTTAGTATACTTTGGCAAATCATCATGAATAGATTTACGTTTTAAACAACTCTACTAAATTCTTCAAATTTACTTAGAAAGTCAGTAATCGGTTCGCCAAACGCATAGAAGATAAATTAATTTTGAAACATGAATCACTATCCACCTAAGTCGTATGATGTAACGCGCCCATAGATAATTTTCTGTGGGGCTTTGTCAAGTCGTTGGTTTATGCTGATAAACCAGCAACAACTGAAGCCTTTAGAAACCAATATTGTTAATGTTATTCATGACATACAACTAGAAGTGCTTGAAAGTCACCAAAAATTGGACCAAAAGAGTATACTATTTTGCAGATACATTCCACAAATAATTTTTAAATGTTAATGTAATAGATTGTTTTTTAAAATAATATTACTTTTTTTATTCACAAAACATTTTCTTAATTTTTATCTTTACAAGGGAATGAAATAAATCAAAGACACTAGAATCGACGAAAACGTACAAAATACAGAAAATCAATGTCCCCCATTTAAAATGACATATATGGAAGGAACCGAAAAAAAATTTCACATTGGACAAGCAGAGGTAGAGGCAGAAATGAAATATAAGAATGTTATGAATCTTTAGTAGTGTAACGGTATGTAACCAAATGATTTTTAATGTTTAAATAAATGCTAATGAATACCTACAACCTCTATTTTTACAAGTGTACAGTCACCGTTAGTGGAACATAAATTACGTCATCACTAATATAATGTTTTGCGACTGAATTAAGAAAATGTTCATATAAGTAGAGATGAATTAAAAAAATCAATTTCAGATTTACGTAATCATTTATCAACTTGAAAGGTTTTTGTATTATTGAAGAAAGCTGAGATCTTTGATGTGGTATATCGCTTTTATGATATCATAATTAAATTTCAAAAATAAGCAGAAAAATACTAAAAAAAATGGACGAATTTTTTTTAAACATTGAACCAATAAACATATTAATGAACCAGAGTCAACAATACTTGAAATATACAATCCATAACTAAAAAAAAATTGGAAACACTTAATAATAGTGTGTCGCAAACAGTCAGCACAAAGAAAATACGAAAAAAGCGTTCAAAACGGTCAGATTGTAAAAGTCTACTGTAATTTGGTTTTCCTAGTAGTAATTATGGATTTTTATTAAGATACATGGCTTTGGCAGAAACCCATTACCCAGACTTATTTATAAGTAGTATAATTCTATATAAATATCTTTACTAATCTTCTTACTGATAAATATCAGGTAAAAATGTGTTGATCTATTACCCTTTCATAAGTTTCTGTGAAGTCTTTAATCACCTTCTAACATTTCTTAAATACCTTTTCTAAAATATCTTAAATTGAATGGATTTAACAGTTATTGACCATTTAGAATAGTTATTTTTTTTATTTTACAAATTTGGACCTTGCTTTAGTGTTGAAGGGTGAATGAATTTTGAATTGGAGTGCAT